AGTTCAGGAAAAATTTCAAGGATAGTAATGAAGTGGATAGTAGGATAGTAAAGCAGTGATTACTGAAACAGCAGGATGGCATAATAATATGACATTTTTATCTTATCTAACTAGGGTATTTTACTTTTTTTTGAAGAACCTGGAGTATTTCCTAAATTGAAGTTGCAGAAAATACCTAAATAAAATAATGCAAGATAGAATTCCTGATTAATACTAGCCTTTTAGAATTTATTTTTCTACCAGAGTAGAGAGACTCACTAGTCAACATTTGTAGATTCATTTCTTACTGATGGGTGGACTATTAGTTTACTGACCAAATGTATAATGTAGATGATTATTGGAAGCTATGTAGCAACTTGCATGGTCAAGAAAAAATGTTAAACTCAGTGAAAAAGGTTTGGAATTGTACAATGTTAAATATTTATTATATATGTATATATATTAGGGTGATTCATATTGTAATAGACATAAATATTTTTTTTTTTAATTTGATTTTATTTCACCTCCTCAAGGGCATGAAGGCCACTTCAGTCAAGGAGGCTACTTTAGTTGTATATACCTAATAAAAATTCTGGAATTGTTTTATTGTATTAGTTGTTAAATACTTCTAATTAATTTTTCCGGAATGGCTTTATAACAATTTGGTGACAAGATGATATTTTTTTTCAATTTTGTTTACATTTTAAAACAGTTTTTTAAAATTATATTTTTGCATAATAACAGTATAGATTGGTCTTTTTTGGAGCAGGCAAATAAATGATCTTACACTGTTCTTTAACATGTAAGGAAGCCAAAATACTTGGTTTTATGAACGTAGATAGTTGTTTTTATGCTATAAATTGATTACAATTTGGTTGCTTAATTTTACATAGCAATAATCTATTTTTACATTAACATTGTTTTAGCAGTTTTTTATTTGTGTTATGTACAATATTAGGCATGTGTATTATTACTATGTACACTATTAACCACGTCTATTAAAATGAGATTCACACTTCTTATAAAAATCATACTTTTATTTGGTTGCTATGGATACCTAATTTTTTTCGCATAAAAACAGTGGTTGAAAATCTGATAAAAATTTATTCAAAAATCCATGTACTCTCTGGGTAACTAAGGAAAGTGTATGGTCTGTGTCTAAGCAATATAGGTATCCATAGCAACTAAATAAAAACTATAACTTTTACATAAGGTTCAACCTTGTATTAGTACTCAAGCCAAATTTAGTGAACATAGCACTTGTAAAAAATATCTGCAACAATCAAAATAGGCTGTAGCTATGCAAAATAAGGTATCCATAAAACTAGGTATCCATAGCAACTAAATAAAAAATATTCCCCTCATAGGAAGCGCAAACCTAATATTAATGCAGAAACAAATTATAGTGCATATAGAGCACATAAAACATTTGCAACTACCAAAAAAAGGTTATCGCTATTCAAAACATGGTATCTAGAGCAACCAAATAAAATAACATAAGAAAAGCGAACCTCACATTAACGAAAAGACAAAATAGTGTATCAATTACACCTAATAAAAATGCTACTATCAAAAATAAGTTGTTGCTATGCAAAATTAGGTATCCAAATTAACCAAATAAAAATGATCACTTTCATAAGAAGTGTAGACCTCATATTAATACTAATGCCAAATATAATAAATAAAGCCTAATATTTAATCAGTTAATAATTTTTTCCATTTAAAGTAAATTACGGTCCACTGTGTAATGAAAAGAAAATTCAGATGATATAAATTATATATTTCTAGACTAGTAGCCATATTCTGCATTTTACAATACATATTATATACAATTATAACTCTCTATAAACTATACTTTGTATAACATTTTATTGTTAACATGTTGCTTTCTGTTCAATTTAGAAATTAATAAAATGGCAGTAACTAGATCTTCTGCTGAGGTGTGGCTGGTAAACCTATACAAATTTTGTTGCCTGACTTCCTTCAAGAGGCAACAAAATGTTCTTGATGACTTGACTTCCTTCAAGAGGAAGTCAGGCAACAAAATGTTCTTGATGACTTGACTTCCTTCAAGAGGAAGTCTTGAAACAAAATTTGGAGGCTGTTTTTCAATCATTTAAAAGATAAACAAGAAGTGAAAAAAAAATATTTGAGTAAAAATTGAATTCTTTTGGAACAATACCAACTCAAACAGAGGAAGAATACCAACTTAAAGAATTAATAATTATGAAAGAAAGTTAAAAAAAATGTATAACAATTATCCTCTGCTGAAAAAAAAAACAGAGGATCAAAATTGGACAGCTGTTAAGTGAAAGAAGTAATTTTTCTTGAAAAACCTTTTGATATATCAACCAAGAATGCATCAGAAGATAAAAAAAAAATGATGAAAATAAAGCATTCTTACATCAAAAGCAAAAAGATCCATTACATCGCAGTATCATAGTAATTGATTGGAATTTAACGAGTTCGAGAATCTAAAATGAAAATTAAGGGTTGAAGCAGTAAAGCCAATTTGATGTGAAAAACTGAATTTGTTTAATGCAACTGGTTTAACGAAAATGAATACGAAAGGTCTAACAGATAATATATCATCTTTTGATCATGTTAATATTTCTGATTGCCATGCACTCTTTGTGTTTGGAGCAGTAGCTCAATCTCTTTGTCACTCATTAAAAGATTTATCATTGTCATACAGCACAATCCACAGAACAAGGCTCTTGAAGGTTGAAAATAGAATGAACAGTTGCATCTAACAGAGTTTATCCTGGTCAAACTTAAAATATCCAGAAAATATTTTTCTAATAATATCCAGAAAATGTTTTCCTTATATTATCCGGAAAATATTTTCAAGACACATATGGAAAGTTACGGGAATAAAAATGCTTTTTGTGCATTTAAGAATATTTTTGTTAATATCTCAATGAATAAATTCATTTGATAATTTTAATTAACTCAAAACTTATACTATACGCTGACGTTTTCAAGATATTGCTCAGCTTTATGTGAATAAAAAATATATATATATATATATATATATATATATATACATACATATGTATATATATATGTATATATACATATATATATATATATATATATATATATATATACATATATATATATATATATATATATATATATATATATATATATATATATATATATATATATATATATATATATATATATATATATATGTATGTATATATATATATATATACATACATATATATATATATATATACATATTTATAAATAAATATATAAATATATATATATGTATATATATATATGTATATATATATATATATAAATGTATATATATATATATATATATATATATATATATATATATATATATATATATATATATTTATATATTTATTTATAAATATGTATATATATATGTATATATATATATATATATATATATATATATATATATATATATATATATATATATATATATATAGCATAAATTATACTAGGGCATATATATATATGTGTATATATATATATATATATATATATATATATATATATATATATATAGCATAAATTATACTAGGGCATTCAAACAAAAAAATTAGTAGAAAAATATGTGAAGATAAAAAATCTTTTTTTTAATGCTTGTATCAATAAATTTATAACAGATTTTTTTTTTTACAACAGATGATTGTGTTAAAAAAAATGTTTTAGTTTTTCTATGAAACTATAATAAAAATAACTTATGCACAAATATATAGAAACTTTTTATAAAAACAAAATATTTAAGTTATTTTTGTTACTCAAAAATTTCTAATAAACAGGGCTTTCATATAAAAAACATAATAAAAAACTTGTCAACAGTTTTTTTTTGACGCGAAAAATAATGCAGATTTTGTAGTTTTGCTGCCAAAGTTGGAAAAAATATATTCAGTTTTTCTAAAACTAAAGAAGAGCTTATTTTTGTGCTAAACAAAGTTACTAATAAATTAAATACTAATAAATTACTCAAAAAAAGAATTTTTGAGAAATTTTTAGAAGTAATGCGTTCATTTTTTTAAAACGAAAGCAATACTTCAGCAATCATTGAAGAAAAACTAAAAAATGATTTTTTTTGTGCAGAAACATCAAAGATTTGAAAATTTAATAGACAAAAATGATAAATATTACAAGTTTGATACTGTATTTCAGCTTTTCGGGACCACTAATACCAAAGTTCAATAATATATTGTTCAGCAAGAACAAATTAATTTCTTTGAAATATTTTAACTTTATATATTGCTGTATTAAAATTAGTAATTAAACAAAAAATGACAAGTAATTTTTTAGAAATTTTTTATTTTTTCTATTTTTTGATTTTACTTTTAATTTATTTTATTTTATTTACATGCATTACAAGTATTTAACTTGTATATATATATATATATTTATATATATATATATATATATATATATATATATATATATATATATATATATATATATATATATATATATATATATATATATATATATACATATATATATATATATATAAATATATATATATATATATATATATATATATATATATATATATATATATATATATATATATATATATATTATATATATATATATATATATATATATATATATATATATATATATATATATATATATATATATATATATATATATATATATATATATATATATATATATATTATATAGTATATATCTTCAATTATCAACCTGTTCGAAAACAATAAAAAAATTCTTAACTTATGAAAGATAAAAATAATTAATCTCATTAGAAAAGGGCTTTTTTATTTAATTATTTTTTTGCAGATTTTTCAGAAAACAAACAACTTATTTGTTAACATTATTGTTAACAAATAATTGTTAACAATAATGTTAATTTAAAATTTATGTTTTTCATGCTTCTTTTATTTTTTTTCAGAAAAAAACAAAACAACAAAAGCATAACATTAATTTAGCATCAGCTTTAAATGTTCTCATTGGTTGTTTCATATTCAAAATAATAATTAAAATACCTGAATTAAAAACAACAGGTGGTAATTCATTACCTAAAAATAATAATTACTTCAGAAATAAAATTTATTGATTATTATTATTACTGATTGTATTATTTTTATTACTCCTATTTTTTTAAATATTGTTTACCTAATAATATTAGTAACATTTAAATATTTCTTTTCTTATGCTTAACAATGTTTTAACAAAGTTTTACAAAAAAATATTTTAAAAGAAACAAATATATATTGAATGAAATTTTTGATTGTAATTTTAAAAAAATTTAAAAAAAACAAACTAAGAACTTCAAATTTTAAAAAAAGGACCAATACAAAACATCACAAAAATAAAACAACGACATAATAAAATCAAAACAACAACATAATAAAATAAAACAACAATATAGTAAAATAAAATAATAAAATAAAACAAAAATAAGAAAACAACACAATAAAGTAAAAATATAAAACACAAGTCGTATACAAAACATAAAAAGAATTTAATACAAAATTTTATATTTGTGATAAGAAAATTTACTTGAATCCCCATTAATAATAAACAAGTTCTTTATTAAACCATCCTGTGCAATCGACCATGGATCTGATGCATATACTTTGACATCACTAAAACTTTCAGGTTTATTGTTAACTTGTGTGTGGACACATTCTTCATTAAGAATAATTGTATATACATAAAACGATCCATTGTAAAACTGAGATATCCTAATATTTGACCATATATCTAAATTGATTGGGTTTGTAACAAAAGATGAGTCAAGGTTACCATTAATTGGTGCAGCAATATAAAGCTTTCCAATACCATCATTATCAAACCATACACCTGGAACTCTATCTCCATATTTAAATTGATCAGAACCAATTGTGAAATGAATGACATTATGTCGACTGCTAGCAAACTTTTTAGGATAAACATCTAATGAAATGAAGTATACTTTATCAAGATATGGTATCTTAGCAACAATACTCCCATATACTAATGGAGTGGGTATACTGCCAACAATATATTCTAAAAAATGACATAAAAGTATGACAAAACTAAATTAATTTGACTGAGAAAAATGTAACAAGCTTTTGAAATGCCATATGGCAGAGTTGGTTTTTAACGAAAAAAAATAAAAATAAGAAAAAAATATATAAGAAATTAAATATAGGGAAAATCAAAAATTATTTAGAAAAAAGAACAACAAACAATGTAAAAACAAAATCAAATAATATAAATATTTCAGATGACTGAGAAGAAATAAGAACAGGTAAAAACAAAAACTGCCATTAACTAATTACAGAGTTAAAAGTTTAAAAATGTTTGAAAATAGAAAATGACAATAAAAGAAGAACAAGAAACATTACAACTAGCGAAAAAAGAAAGAAAAAGAAAAATTTTTCTTTTAATTTTTTTATTTTAATTTTTGTACATTGTTTATTTTATGTATTTTTGTGCTCTGTTTTGGATTGTTTTTTTGTTGTTGTTGTTTTTTATTTTTGTATTCTTGTGTATTGCTAATTAGGCATTGTAGTGTATAGTTCATATTGCTATATGTTTAGTGTGCTTGCATCAGCATGTATTTTTTTTTGGTTTAATGTTGGTTGGACATTTTTAAAAATGTATATATTTTTAAAGCTGTATATGTATATATATATATCTATATGTGTATGTATACATATGTGAGTGTATGTATGCGCGCATGTGTATTTACAGTATTATAAAAAAGTCAAGAACCACTAAATAAAAAAAATTATTTTTTTCAAATAAAATTATTTAATTTTTATTCTAAAGATAATAAAATAGTTTTTTTTTCAAACATTAAATAGAACATGAGAAAAAAGAAGATATTTTTTTTTTTTGAAAGTCAATAGAACCTATAAAAATGAGGATTAAATATTGTGTTAATTTTTTTCAATTTTTTTATTGTGAAAAAGTTAAGAACCACAAAGAATTTTTTGTGCTAAATGCGATGAAAACGACTTTTTTTAATTGATTTTTACCTTTTTATTTAAAAATTCTATTAATGACCTGAGTCATTACCAAAAACCAAAAGTATTAAAAAGAAAGTATTTAATTTCAAACAAAAAAAAAATTCTTTTCTTTTGAAAAAATGAGCAGAAAAGCTATTACCTATGAAGATCGTGTAAAAGTAGTGCATTTTCACCAGGAAGGTAAAACGACTTGTGAAATTGGAAAAAGAATAAAGCAATCACATAGTTAGGTGCTAACAATTTTTAAAAAATTTAGAGAGACGAAATCTTACATTGATCGCCATCGTTCTGGAAGATCGCGTTTGACGACACCCAACGATGATCACCTTTTAATCAGTTTGGCAAAGAAAAATCAAACAAAGCCGCTGCATGAATTAAGAAGAGAATGGAAGCTTTTAAATGGACGTCAAGCTTGTGCGTAGGAAACTAATAGCTAACAATATGCTATGGAAAAAAGCTGTTCTAAAACTGCGACTTACCAAACAACATATAAATAGTGAAAAGAATTTTGCCAAAGTGTCAAAGAATGGTCTAGAGAAAAATTAAGGACAGAAATGTTCAGTGATGAGATGAATATCGAGGTTGATAATTGAAAAAACCAAATTATGATTTGCAGGCAGCCTTCAAAAAATATAATCTCAATTGTATCGTTCAAAGAACAAAACAAGGTAGCGGGTCGATTGGAATATGGTGCTGCATGACATATTATGGTCTCGGTATGTTTAAATGATTTGATAGTCAACTCAACTCTATTTATCATGTCAATATTTTAAATAACAACTTGTTACCATCAATTGATGCACTTGAGCAAAGCATTCCATTCATTTTGACACTTGAGCAAAGCATTCCATTCCATTCAGCAAGACAATACACCATGTCACAGGGCTAAAATTGTCTCTGAATGGTTCGAAAGAAAAAATATTGAGCGTCTAACTTGGCCACTAAATAGCCCAGATCTAAATTGCATTGAAAATCTTTGGAGTTGGCTTGATAAAGAGATTGCCAAGAAAGCACCAAGGAGCCTTGAGGAGTTGCGCAATATTTTACCAACAATACTTGGAAATATTCCCAAACATATTTTAGAGAATATAATAGACTCAATCAAATCGTATAAATGAGTGCTTAAAAATTCATAGTAGAATTACGCAGTATTAAGTAAAAAATAGCTTTTTTTGTTCTGTGGTTCTTAACTTTTTCACAATTTTTTTTAAAATAAAAATTACCTATAAAACTTTAAATACATTTTTTTTATTTGTTTAAAAGTCTTTGTCATTATTTTTTTTATTTTGTTTGTCTATTTTCTAAAATTTATTATTATTATTTTTTTTATCAGAAAAATATATTTGACAAAATAAAAATAAATTATGATTTGTTTTTTGGTGGTTCTTAAATTTTTCACAATACTGTATGTACAAATATGTGTGTTTTCACAATACTATATGTGCAAATATCTATAGATGTGCATTAGGCATATGACTTTTAAACTTTTTGAATAAAAATTGATTTTCTGGGGTTTCAGTAGATGAACTTTTATGTGTAGATTGCATTTATTATTACTTTAGTGAAAAGTTATGAAAAAAGGTGGCGTACCCATAAGCATCTTTTGATGATGTCACTATTCAATATAAAACTTTAAACAAATGTCGTTTTATAACTATATTGCGCTAAATGTAGGCAATGTTTTATACCTTAAATTTTAGCTTTTTATGGCTAATTAAAGCTAAATATAGTTTTAACAATCTGCTTTTAACCAATAGGCTTACACTTAAGAAATTAAATATTAAAAGTAGAGTTTCTAGTAGTTTGGCTTTATAAGCTTCAATTTTTCTTATCTGCTTTTGACTAATTGCTTTGTTGTTTTATTGTAGAAGCTATTCTGACAGAAAAAAGTTTAGATTTCATTTAGTTCATAAAAGACATGTCTAAACTATCATGTAACCTAGTTAATAAAAGTTCCAATATATGGCAGCAGAATATAAAAAGCAAAGTTGCCAGGCGTTCAGAAATACCTTTGCGAGATACTGAATTAAATGAACTCTGCAAAATGCCTCTTAACAGGGACATTGTTGGGCGTTTTTTGGGATTACATGATAAAATGAAGGAGAAGAAAATAAGAATAGAAACTATTGCAAAGTAACTGAATTTACTTTAGGATAAATTTATTTTTCCTGTCGTAATGCAACGTGTTCACCCAAAAAATGCAAATCTAATTGATGCACATGTGAGATACAGAAAGAAAAACGGTAAGAGATTTCTGGAGGAGTTAGCAAGTTTCTTTGATATAACCAAAACTGATGGAAACTGGTTGTCCTCTGAAGACAAACAACTTTACCTAAAACAGATTGATGGTACTCATGGTACTGTTGGATACACAATTGCAAAGCTTGCACCAGCCTCAACAATTCATCCACCTAAACACCGAAAAGTTATGCAATTTTTAGTTGAGAAAAAAAGTCATGATAACTTCAGATGAATCTGTGCAAAAAACTGATGCTGAAATATCACCTGGTGATGATTTTATACCTGAAGTGGAAACAAAGATGAAAAAATATCAAAAAATCAAGGCTGCTGCAAATCTGGTTACCAAATAATCTCTATCTACAAGACAATAATCCAGAGTCTGTTATATTCTCGCTGCTGAATCTTCTGCTAAGTTACCCACAACATCATAAACTGGAATATGGAAAAGAGTGGTCAGAGATGAAATAAGAAAGGCTGCTGAAATAAAACGTAATCCTCAGCAGGAAAAAGATTTCTGTTTGCATTTCGATAGAAAGAAACTGTCATCTAAAGAATATGAAGTTTTTTGACAACAGCAGTCAACACTGGTAGCAGAAATGGAATAATCGCTTGGCTTTATAAAGAATTTAAAAGAAAATGTATTATTAGACCGCAGTACATTGGGTGTCACCACATCCTTAACTATTTTTTTTTTTGCTAACATCTTCGCTTCCAACAAGGCGGCAAGCAACCATTAATTAGTGTTGGAAGTTACTGGAAGAGAAAAGATGAAGATTGTAGAGCAATCAAACGATTGACAGATGACACAAAAGATTGCAAATTATATGAATCAGTAAAGCAAGTTGAAGGAAGTGAATTCCAAAGAACTGATGTTCGAGGAAAAAAACTAGACGAATAAGAGTTTTTGGAGCACTTAGGAACAGTAACAGAAAAAGGATGAGACTTAATTGAATGACAAGTAACATGAGAATGAATTTTAGAAGATGAAGGGTAGGAGACTCATTGAGTACATTACCGTTCATAAATATAGGAAGTTCTAAATTATTGCGATAACGATTGGCTAAAAAAAATTGAGTTTTATCTGAATTAAAGTTCACCAGCCACTGTGAGCCCCATTCTATAGCAGAAGTGAGATCTTTTTCAAGCTCAGATGCCCCCTGCAAGCAATCAGAGGGAGTTGGCTTCTTATCATGACAAGAATAAATGGTAGCATCATCAGCGAATAATGCTACCTTAGATGTGAGAATATCTGGAAGATCGTTAATGTAAATTAAAAAGAGTATATGGCCAAGGATTGAACCTTGAGGAACCCCTGAGGCTACAGAATAAAAAGAAGAGTGCTGTCCATCAAGGACAACTTTTATACTACGATTGGAAAGAAAGGATTCAATAATCTTAAAGATGTTTCCAGATACACCGTAAGAAGAAAGCTTATGGAGAAGACCAGCATGTCAAACTTTATCAAACGCTTTAGAAATGTCAAGAGCAATGGCCTTAACCTCTCCACCTTTATCTAATGCGCAATAAAACCTATTGGTTATTACTGTTAGCAAATCAGCAGTAGAACAAAAAGATCGAAATCCATATTGATGATCAGAAAGTAGGTAATGAGATTCGAGATGAGAGATTAAGTGTTTGTTAATTAAAGATTCAAAAACCTTGCTAATGATAGGAAGAAGACTAATGGGACGGTTAGTTATGATGGTTAGTTAGACGAATCGGATCGCTCTGCAGAATTTTTAAAAATAAGGATAACAGATGCTGCTTTCCAGCAGGCTGGAAAACAAGATT